TTGACGTGCTCAGTTGATAAGTGAAAGGTTGGTGGTTCGAGTCCACTAAGAGGCTCCTCAGAAGACAAGCGTGATGTCTTGCCAAAAACAAAGAACAAGCACGTGGCCATTGAAGACCTGAGGGAGTACAGTCTTCCTGTCTCCACATGGGGCGCCATGAGTCAGAAGTGACCCAGTGGCAACCAGTTTACTGGGGTCAGTCCATGTCCTACCAGGCAAAGAGAATCCCTGTCAGGGAGGTTAATATAGGAATGAGGTACCAGGCTGATGGACGAACTGAAAAGAGCAAACACTGGCTCTAGAGCTGTGGCGAGGAGCCCACGGGCTCTGGGACCACCGAGGGAGGGGCTGCCAGGCAGGGCTAGAACCAGGCCCATCGCCCCCTTCCATCTTCTGCCCTGGCCAAGGCCACAGACAGGAAGTCTGGGAACTGTCATTCCAGAGGGGTGAGCACCCTCCCCTACAAAGCAGAGCAGAGGACGGCAGAGGGTTTGTCTGAGAGCAAAAGGGAGACGTTGCTTCCTATGGAGTTGCTGGTGGGTTTGAACCGCCAACCTTGTGGTTAGCAGCCCAACCCTGAATGCCGACAGAGCTCTCCTTTGAATTTTCATGGATGCTGTGGAAATGCTGAGTCTGCCCACAGGACACATGGCAAGAGGTTCCTGGCGTGGGGCTTGAGAGCAGAGTTTTAACCCCCCAGCTTAATAGCCCAGGTTTTTCACTCTCTTTCCTAATTGCTGACAAATATCACACTTCACACAGTCATTAGATGCTCCCCCGCTACCCAAGATTAAAAGCCTCTGATTAGCACCCGTTTTTCTATACATACCAAATGAAGGTGCATCGATTTGAAAAACAGAAAAATTATAGTATCGCCAAATGCAGTTAACACCCAAGTACGTCCTGGCCAGGTCCTGCGGGGGCAGGAAGGAGAGAAGGGAAGTTCACTCGTTGATATTTCAGCCAAGGGATGGATTTTGCCTCCCCCCCCAAAACCCCAGCTCATTCCCCTCTACCTCGGAGCTTGTACTCAGAAATTACACATGTACTTACTGGCCTCTCTTCGCAGATGTGGGCTAAATTTGTCTGTGACACTTCAATTCCAGTTTCTGCTGCTAAAACGTAATACATCAAAGCTTCATGCCTAAAAATAGAGGATTAATAATAAATTCCATAGAGTGGCTCCTACTAATATTCGCAGAGAGCTTTGTATTCACACACAAGAGGGCACGGAATAAGCATTTTTTCTAAAACCACAAAATCATGAGTTTCTTTCTTTCTTAAAAAAAAATACTGTTGTAAAAATACTGCAGGCACGGATGTCTTTGCTATTTTAAAGGCTGAGCACACAGATAAGGCTACCGAGCTAGTTGATGCAACAGCTCCCTCTACTGGCTAGAATCGGGCACGGTGCTCTGTCACAGCTTGACTCCTTTCATCCCTGGGGACCCACAGCCATCAAGGACAAGGTAGAACTGCCCTTGTGTAACTGCTCACGGGAATCGAAGGCCCCATCTTTCTCTCCCTCTGAGCGGCTGGTGGTTTTGAACTGCTGACCTTAGGGATCCAAGTCCAGTGCGCAGCCACCAGAAGGAGACAAATGGCATTGAGAAAGAGACTCATGCTATAGGGTCCTCTGGGGAAGGGCTCTTGGGAGTTTAGGGTTTGCAACCAGCTCACAGTAATTAAGGCAGAACTTATGGAGAGGATTAGATGTCTGACAGGTGGTTACAAGAGGCTTGGTACATGCCAAGGAGCCCTGGTGGGCGTAGTGGTTATGCCTTGGGCTTGTGATCCACATGGTTGGCAGTTCAAAGCTACCAACGGGGGGAGGGGGGGGAGACAGAGAGAGAAGTGGTTGTACTTCTTCTGGTGTCTTAAATGATCAAGGTGCTGCCCAATTTGGCTGTAACTATCAGTAGGTGTTTCAAAAGCCTATGTTCCCTTTGAGTCCCATCGGGAGCCTGGTCCAAGGGCAGGGCAGGGAAATTGGGTGAGCTGCTGGCGCCACCTCTTCTCAGCTTGCAGCGGCACTAGAGCTTGTTCCGGAGATGGGGGGGCGGGGAATGGGGGGACAGATTGGGACCCCCGGACCTTCCATCAGACTCGGCTGTGAGTGAGTCCACTCTTGGCCTCCCAGACACTAGAGGCAGCTGACCACTTAGCCATGACTCAGGGGGAGAGGCAAGGCCAGCTAAGCAGTTTTCCCCGAATCAGCAAGCCAGACAACAGGATCACAGTATCGGCTGCAACCACGCAGATGCCTCCGAGTTTCCTACCCTTGTGAGAACCTGCGTCGCAGGCCTGAGAGCTCTGGCCCAAGCCGTGCAAGGGCAGCCAGCTGACCTGGAGTGACCGTAACCATTATGTCATCGGGGCTCTTGCTCATGGGACCGCACACCCACTCACTGCCATCGAGTCGATTCTGATTCAGAGTGACCCTACAGGACAGGGCAGAACTGCTCCTGTGAGTTCCTGAGACTGTAAGTCTTCATGAGAATAGAAGGCTTCATCTTTCTCACAAGGAACAGCTGGTGGGTTTGAACTGCCGACCTCACGGTTAGCAGCCCAGGTCAGGGATAGTACCTCCAAACTGTTCTGAGACAGCCCTTCTGACTTGAATGGGGTGGAGGTTGTTAAAGAGGAGGGGGCTTAGCAAAAAGAAGTCATGTCAGGGGCACGGTTTAAACGTGGGTCATACATTCAGACTTTAGTAATGATAGCTCTAGAATCATCCTTTGCTTTGTAATATGGAGTGCATCGCACCATGTACCCAAGCAATTACATGTATGTGTGTACACACACACACACACACCCACACACACACACACACACACACACAAATGAATGTGCATGTATCTAACTGCCTATTCCTTTTTCCACCCCGTGTTTGTTTCTGCCAGTGCCTGACACAACTCAGATTGGATGTAACAAAAAGAAGAAAAGCCTGGGGTCTCGGGGGCACTCAGGGAAGGTGAGTCTCTTTCAGTTGGAGCCTCATCTGTCTGCTCTTCTTGCCTCCACCCTACAGTGACTCTGGCTGACCTCCTAGGAGGCCTTTTTCAGGGTCCTGAGCACACAGCCAGCCTCCTTTGCAGGCAGAAGGTGGAGGGAAGGGAAACAGATTTGAGGATAATGGAGGCAAGGAAGCTCCGCCCAGCGCGTCATGCATAACCCGCCCATCGCATTGAGCCCTACCAAGAAAAGTCACACTGGGTGGTGGGGACTACAGCAGGCACACCCTGGGGGCTCAGAGGAGATAGTGGGGAAATCTCATTGCTTAAGGCCCCTCGCATTTCCACTCTAACTTCTGGGGAGGGGCTAGAGGCTTGGCTTTGTTCCAGCGGGCTTTGACAAAGACAGTCTCATTGTGGTGGTTCTTCCTGGGGACACTATCTAAGAGCCCACTGCTGTGGAGTGGATCCCAACACACAGGCACCCTAGAGAGGGCTTCCGAGGCTGCACATCTCACAGGAGCAGACAGCCCAACCACTTAACTTTTTCTCCCTGTGAATGGCTGGTGGCTTTGAACTGCCAACCTTAACCATCAGCAGGCCTAACGCTGACCGATTTTGCCTTCCCTGCCACCAGGGCACCTTCTGTTCACACCCTCTCTCTTTCACTGTCACTGGGTCCATTCTGACTCAGAGCGGTCCCATGGGACAGGGTAGAACCGCCCCTTTGGGTTTCTGAGACTGTAACTCTTTATGGGAGTAGAAAGTCTCCTCCTTCTCCCTCAGAGGGGCTGGTGGGTTGATTCAAATAGCCATTCCTTCTGGCTCCTGGGGATGAGGCTGGGCTGTAATCTGGGAAGGGCATTTGAGGGGTTGCAACAGCCCTGACACCGTCCTTCAGTTGGGCAGAGGGTTGACAGGTGCTCATTTGGCTGTTAATCATTAGACCTTCCGTACACATCAGACATTCTTCCACATGC